ATAATCCCTCAGTATTTTATCAGGAAGTAGTCCTTCAGTTGGTTGAGAAAGGAATATCTTGGACTTTCATTCCTCCGACCCCGCACTACGGCGGTCTTTGGGAAGCCGGCGTAAAGTCCGCAAAAAACCTACTCAAAAAAAACTATTGGCGAAAACAAGCTGACGTTTGAAGAATTTTCCACGGTGATCTAGGATATAGCTACGTGTCTCAACTCTCGGCCGCTCAACGCATATACGTCAGATCCAGAAAACTTGCGGGTCTTAACACCGGCTCACTTCCTCAACAAAAGACCTTCAGTTATTATACCGGACAAAGAAACACCAGGTATCCCACTCAATCGGCTCGATCGTTACCAACTACTCCAAAGGTTACGAGATCAGTTTTAGAAGCGTTGGTCAAATGAATATATGGTCCAACTTCAAGAAAGAAAACGGTGGCGAAACGATATAGATAATTTCACAATAGGCCAACTTGTGATCTTAAACGACGATAGGTATCCTGCATCTAAGTGGCCACTGGGGCGAATCATCGAGACTCATCCTGGTAAAGATGGCCTCGTGCGAGTTATCACAGTGAAAATAGTGAATAATACACTCCGACGACACATTGCTTGTTTAGCCCCTATTCACGTGGAAGATAAAGAAGAACTATCCAAGTGAGATTGAATGCGGTAGTTTTAAGGTGTGTATATGTATATATGTATATACATATATATATATATGTGTGTGTGTGTGTGTGTGTGTGTGTGTACATATATATATATATATAAACTCTTAAATCTCTAATTTAGCGTCGTATGCGAGAAAATGAATATTTAAGTTATTATGAAGTTTATTTATTTAATCAATATATTATAACGGGGTTTTGACCCAGCGCAGGTCGCTCGTTATATAATTTACGAGGGAGTGAGAAACAGCTCGGAGTGGGCCTCGTAATAGGCTGCGCGAAGCCTAACCCAGCAGCAACAGGAACGGCGTGGTACAGTGTCTGTTGCCTTAGCCTGCAGAGAGCGTCGTGTGGTCCTATGGGCGCTTTTGAGCGATTACGAAATTCAGGGGCGAGAGCCGGACGGGACAGAATTGATTACGATAGGTAAAGAAAGCACAGAGAAAGAGAGCAGATATACAAAAGCATTGAGTTTACTACAGAGAAAGGTACAGAGCTATGGCGCAGCGTAAGCGGGAGAGAGAGCGGCAAAAAGCTAGCGAGAGAGACACGTATTCGAGATGGTACTTACAATGATGTCTCGGCGTTAGCCCTGCAGACGGTATCCTCAGCCTCGCACGTGGCTCGCGAGGACGCGCAGTGTGCAGCTCGGGTGCAGTCAAGAGGCGGGCGGCCTTAAAGGCTCGCACGCGTGGTCACAGGAACTAGCCCACCAAAGGCGCTAGGGGCAATCTTGGTACCGAAGCCTCACACCGAGTGGACACTCGCGTACTCGCCGGAAACCGAAAAGTTAGTCACGGGTAGCAAAAGATCGCATGCACGTGTATAGCCGCTCGTAACACGTTCACGTGCTTCGAAGTCGCCGGTACAAAAAAATGAGTTCTTTTCGCGGTGCTTTCTCCTACCCCACTCTCGTTCTCGCGCGCGTCGCGCCGGCTTCCCGAATTCTCTCTCTCTAGCTCGCCCTCTATTAGCGCTCTCTCTGACTTACCTTTGGCTGCCATACATGTGAAAAAAATACATGATAAGTATACATATACATATGAGGATAATTATAATTATGTATAGAGAGAGACATAACGAGGGTCTAGTCACTCGTTATATGCCCCTCCCCCAGAACTAGGTAGCAGGGCGTACCAGGTCGAAAAACCTGTCTCTCTCCACCAAGTAAGGAAAATTAATTGGTAAAAAAAAATCAAAACATCGTAGAGGTAGAAAAATATATTTTTTCAACATTTTATATTTTTGAAGCTTTGGATGGAATGTAGCTTATCGCGACTCTCTCTACTCGCGCGGGTCGCCAATCTTATAAGGTAATAGGTGATAAAAAAAACGAGAAGAGAAAAAAAAACGTGGGCGTCAATGCCTGATTCTTGGGAGAGGGAACCTTCGAGAGCGAGGTCGCGAGGATGGTCGTAGCACCTAGATCTAGACCTAGTGCCTGGTCACGCCTCGTCTGTCACCTCTGTCCGCGTGGGTGGGCGTCAACTCTTCCTTATCTCGAAGGAAGGCTTCCCTGCGTTGGCGCGTTTCGACCGTGCTATATGAGTACGGCTGCTATCCGCCGCTCCTCCAAAGCTCGTGCCTCGACCAATTCGGGCAGTCGGAGGTTCGAGGCACTCTCGTAAGGCTGCAAGTGGAGCAAGCCCGCTTGCCGAAGAGGTCAGGACACGGCTCGTCTCCTGCGGCTCCTTGCAGGGCAAAGAAGGAGTTGAAGCCGCTGGTAGAGCTGGGGTCACCGTAGCCGCGCTGACGCAGGATTGCCTCCAAGCGCTCTGCGGCCGCCAGGGCGGAACAGGGAGACGCGTTGGTGCGCTTCGGGCTGCGGTCCAGCGAATCCTCGTCTTTACGGCCCTCGTTATCCTCTAGCCGGCGCGGCCTGCGCAGCTTCCTCTGGGGGAAATCCAGTGTGGTCGCCGCGGAGCTGACACCGCTGTCGTCGTCCGACGAGACCCGCGTCTCGCTGGCTGAGTCATCCCCTACCGCGTTGGAGTAGGCAAGGGCTGGTGCGGGAGAAGCGTCCCTGCGCGTCGGCGGCGTAGCGTTTCGGCGGGACGCGCTGGCTACGGCCAACGTGAGTGCTTCGTGCAGCACCTCTTCTAGCCACTTGGTGATTGGAGCCATTTCGGCACTAGTCAGCATCCTCTATAGGACGGAGCATACACAAAGTTAGGCAAAAGAAACGAGCTCAATTTGTTACATCAAGCGATAGCGCCTACTGGGGAAGTAGGAAGCTTTGAAGTAGTAGCAGAGTTTTAATAGCATAGAAGGTGAGATAGGCAGAAAGAAAATGAGAAAACAAGCAAAGTTGTAAGGTGCTAGTCCCTGGGACGCAAGCGCCGAGGGGATACGTCGACGGGAGCATGCATTTTCTGCTTGCGAGGACGGCCTCTTCTCCTTGGGGTGGTCGGTATTTCGCCTCGCACGAGGTCCTGCCATGGGTTTGTTGGGGCCTTTGGCCCTATAACTTCCGCGACCGACGCGTCGTCGTTCGAGGCATCGCGCTCGTCGCTTTCTTGCGTGTGATTGGGCGAGAAAATTTCTTTCAACAACATCGTCTCGTCGTTTCTGTTTTCTTCAAGGAGAGAACCGTCCGCCGCGTCATCGGGACACTGGGCTCCGTCCAAGCACGGTCGCAACTCGCAACGGCGGTTTTACCAACGTCCCGACCTTCTTCGTTCTGGAGTTGGTATGAGGTGGGACCGAGGTGTGCGGTAATGATGAACGGGCCCGCGAACTTCGGGCTGAGTTTCGCGGCCGTCTGGTTAGCGGCGGAGGATAGTACACGATTCTTCGCCCAAACTCTATCACCGACATTATACTTAACGTCGCGATGTTTAGTGTTATAGTACATCTCCTGTCTATCTTGGGCTTCCTGTGAGTGTAGCAGGGCAACGGCTCGGAAGTCGTCGAGTTTGTTAATTCGAGCGTGTCAGTTGTTGACCGCAGCCATCTCAAGGTTTCGAGCCACGGCGCGCTCTTCCTCTCGCTTCTTCGAGTTTGGCAGCTCGGGCTGGCGTCCGTAATTTAGAAAAGCGGGGCTCGTGCGCACCGCTTCGTGTATTGTCGTGTTGTAGGCAAACGCGAACTCTGCGATATGCGCGTCCCACGTCGTGTGTTTTTCTTCGATAAACGCACGGATCATGGTTTTGATCGTGCGATTTACGCGTTCGGTCGGATTGCTCTTAGGCGAGTACGGGGCGCATGTTGCGTGTACCACGCCGAACGAGTCCACAAAGTCGTCGACAACTTTGTTGTTGAACGGCGTACCGTTGTCAGACAAGAACTTTTTAGGGATTCCGAAACGCAGAAACACACGTTCCTTCAGCTGGCGTTGGATGATTTTCCCAGTAATCTTACGGAGAGGGACACATTCGATCCAACGAGTGAAGAGATCAAGAAAGATAAGCAAATGCTCGTAGCCCTGCGTGGATCGCGGGAAAGGGCCCATAGCGTCGCCGGACACGATTTCCCATGGTCGCGTGACGATATGTCGTCCCATCAGCCCTGCTGGGGTGACTTGTAAGGCTTTGACCTGCTGGCAGATTTGGCAGTTCTTGACACACAATGGATCGTGATGGATTTTCGGCCAATAATAGTGGAGGCTCGCGCGCTTGTGGGTTTTGTAACGACCAAGATGTCCAGCCGACGGCTCTTCGTGGCATTCGGATAAGACCCGTGCTCGGTCTTCCCTTGGAATAACGAGCTTCCAAGCATCGTCATCGGTCCCGAAGAGGTCGCCGACGATGGGGTCAGGCTTATAAATATATAAACGGCCACCTAAAACTTTCCAATAGGGATTATCCGTGGGCTGATCGAGGACCTCCTGCATACTCCTGCGGTACCACGGGTCCTGTATGATTTCGCCGAGTGTCAATGAAGCGATTGCCGCGAGCTCGTCTTCGTCGGTCTCAAACATGCATGAAAGCGCGTCAGGCACGACATTGTCCTTGCCCTTGCGATGCATAATATCGAGATCATACGATTGCAACGCAAGGGACCAAAGACCGAGCTTGCCGTTTGGGTGTTTCAAATTAGTGAGCCATTTAAGGCTCTGATGGTCGGTTACAACTTTAAAGTGATAACCTTCCACGTAGGGTCGGAATTTCTCGATCGACCAAACGACGGCGAGGCACTCGCGCTCGGTAACCGACAAACGGCGTTCGCACGACGTCAGGGCGCGGCTCGCGAAGCACAGAACTCGATCTTCGCCGTCGATACGCTGTAGCAAAACGCTTCCGAGGCCAGTATCGCTCGCGTCGCATTCGATGATGAACGGCGCAGCGAAATTGGGCCTGCCTGGGACAGGGGCCATTGCCAAAAGGGCTTTGACTTACTCGAAAACTTGCCGCAACACTTCCTGCCATTCAAACTTGGCGTCCTTGCGGGTGAGCGCGTTAAACGGCTCACAAATCGTAGCGTAATCGTTTAAAAATTTTCGATACCACGAGGCCATGCCCAGGAATCTGCGCAAAGCACGAAGATTTTTCGGGGCTGGGTACTCGAGTATCGGTGCAACTCGTTCTAGATCGGGGCGTGTGCCATCGCGATTTACCAACACGCCGAGATAACGCACCTCGGTCATGCAAATCTTAGACTTCTTGCGATTGATCGTAAAGCCAGCTTCATGTATTCTTCTTAGAATATGCGTGAGCCACCGGACATGCTCTGAGAACGTTTTAGTAGCGATGATCACGTCGTCAAGGTACGCGAAGGCATAAGGCTCCATCTCGGGTGAGATGAGCTTGTCGGCCAACATCTGAAATGTTGCCGGGGCACCAGCCAATCCGAAAGGCATTCGAACGAATTCGAATAGCCCGAGTCCCGAAACGGTGAAAGCAGTTATCGGAATGGCCCTCTCCGAAAGAGGAACCTGCCAAAATCCGCTCGCGAGGTCAATTGCGCTCACGAACTTGGCGTGTTGGAGCTTCCGCAATATCGCGTCCATAAAGAGCAACGGATATGCGCTCACGCGGGTAACGCTATTCACCTTTCGGTAGTTTACGCAGAATCGGTATTCGCCGTCGGGTTTCCGAGTCATCACCACCGGGCTAGACCACTCGCTGCGGGACTTACGAATAATTCCCATTTGCAGCATTTTATGCACTTGCGCGTGCATTTCATCCTCGATCTTATGCGACACCGGATAGTATTTCTGCTTAATTGGGCGCGCGCTGCCAATGTCGATGTCGTGCTCGATCCATCCGGTGCAGCTGAGCTGCTCGCAGGAAGGTTCAGGCAGGAGGTCATCCATCACTCGATCGATTTCTTGTCGCTGCTCCTTCGAGATATCTTCGATACCCAAGGCCGCCAGCGACATCGCCTCCTCCGCACGAAGTGAGGAGACAATCGTCGGGACTTCCTGATCGCAACCTTTGATCCTTATCGTGTTGGTCTCGGGATCCAAACACGCCGAAAAGGCTCGAACAAAGTCGCTTCCGAGAGTACACTCAGCATCAGCCTCGCTCAAGACGAGTACGTCGATCGAATGGGTAACACCACCTATCGTAAAGGGTAATTGTACATTACCGATGATAGGGACATAATGACCATCGACTGCTTTCGCGCCGGGCCCGACATACATGTTGACGCGCTTGTTCATCGCGGCAGCAATCTGAAGGGGAACGGTGCGCGAGGCTCCAGTGTCGTACAGAGCCCTGCAAGTAAATTGACCGATGCTAAGCGTCAGCCACCATCTGGGGTACTTCTCCACCAACGCGCTCGCCGCAAAACTCTCGGAACGCGTTGGCGCTTCTCCCGCGGGGGCATCTGTAGCGAAAGTCCGGGTCGCCATCGGAACGGTAGGGACCCCATCTACGCGTTCCTCTCCACGTTTCTTGGCGCCTCGATTTTTGAGCACTCGGGACAGGTGGCTCTGGTGTACCCAGGCCAGCTGCAGTCCCAACAGAGTAATTTCTCAGCATCGGGGCCGGGAGGCTTGCTCTTGTTTTTGTCCGACTTGGGAGTAATGACTTGGGCCCGACCGTTTCTTGCCGGGCGGCCACGGCCGCTTACCCCGCCCCGTCTCCCCTCGCGTTAACGCGGGTAAGCCGGAGGTTTGTCATCTTTTGAGGAGCTGGTAGAGACTGATTCCTGTACTGCACTCTTATGGGGGGCTGGAAGCCCTTTCTTAGCCGCTGCTAGTTGCTGCCACTTTTTATCGAAAAACTTTTGGAAAGATTTTTCGAAGTCGGCCTCGGAGAAAGGGGACTTTTCTACCACAGACGCGATGCTCGCTTTGGCCTTCGCCGGCGCTTTAACCCTAGGCTGGTATGCCGCGTCAGGCAGCATGCTCTGTTCCGCGGAGGGGGGGGGGGCTTTCCAGTGCTCGTCGGACTCCGCGATCTCTACTTCCATTGCTTTAGCTAACAACTGCGGCAACGATGTGAAATAGTTCTGAGTCTTTTTCAACTCTTTCTTCAATTTAGGCAACATATTATCGATTGCCAAATTGATCGGGTCTGCGATGCTCCATGGTCTTTCGAAGCGACTAAAAATAGTATTCAGCGCTGCGAGGTAATCACGGACCGGTTCATCGGGGCCCTGTGTCCGCAGGTGCGCTTCAACCGATAGGTTGCGGTTATACTTCCTAGATTTACTATAGGCGGATAGCGCGGCATCCCTGAACTGCTCATACGACGCCCACGTGGGCCGCAACAAGCGGTACCATCGAAGCGCGGATCTGCGAAACAGGGTGGACAACGAGTCTAAAAGCTCGTCTTCCGCTATTCGGTCTAGGCAGCAGTTTTCCTCCACACGCTCCAAAAATTCCTCGATGCTGATAGTGCTGTCTCCCGCAAAAGAAATCTTCCATTCCCTGATGGTTTTCCCTAGATTCCTAGTTGAACTCATCGAGCGGGAGGTTGCGAGAAGTGGACTCGATCGCTAATTGTGGATCGGGGATGTGAGGGATCGCGTTGGAAAAATCCGCTTCCGTTAATCGCGTGGCCGCTTGCATCCTGTCGGTCGGTCTCACTGGTGCGGCTGAATATACTGTTGGCTCTGTCGCGTATTGTGTTGTCTGCTGCTTCGTTGTCGAGCAGAAGATTCGTGCATGGGGATTTAGATTCGGACTGGCTACAGTCAGGTCAAAGTCCGGATCGATGAGGCTGTACGTATCGCGAAAGTTGACCGCTTTATCTGCGCGAGTCGCGTTAAACCGTGTGCACTCGTTTTGTTGTTGAACTGTTACTTCTGCTGCTTGTAGTCTGGCGAGGAGGTTATTGTTCGCGGTCTTCAGATCTTTATTTTGTCTTATCAGCTTGTCGTGTTCGTTCGACATAGCTTCTAAACAGTTTTGAAGATCAAGAATTTGTTGAGCCTTTGTACGTTCCGCTATCACTGCTCGTTTTAGCTCCTCGGCTGCCAAACGTGGCATTTGTTTAGGTTCACCGCAAAGCAGATTAACACATACGAGGTTTTCACGATAATTTATCGTACTTGGGGTGCCTGTTGTAGGTATCGATGCCTCGTGCGAGCATGTTGTGTTCGTGTTGGCATGACGTGATTCACTTGAGCCTACGTTTGCTACTGATACTGTGCACGGCGGTGTTGACTGCGATGTCGGCACGTGGGTGCTCGTAATTACCACGAACGTCGGTGTGTATGTGTGTACCGCGTCTCGCGTAAGTGTCTCGTGTGTATTAGCTGTTGTTGTGAGCAACATGTCGCCGTTACTCGTTTCTTCTATTTCTTGATTATTTATCATATATTCTTCTATGTCTTGACTAACGGCGTTAACGAGGTCTTCACGCAATTCTCGCGGTAGCGCGTCTGATTTTATAAAAGTGAGACAAAGATTATTGCGCCGCGTTATCGTTTCGTGATCCTACGCGTCTATAGTTTGTATGAAGTCTTTTTCTTCGTAGTCGCCTTGCAGTCGTCTATATAAGCGGTTCGCGCGTTCGTATATCGTACCGTCTGCCACGAGTTCAAGATTTTCCAAAACGTTATCTATTCTATCACTTGGCAAACTCTTAATTCATTCTTTAATGTAGTTGTCGATTTTTTCTTTTATAATTGTTAGGTCGGTTATATCTTTTTCGGCCATTTTTAAATTTTTTTCTACAAAACTGATAACGAAAAACAATAGTTTTGGAATATCCTGAAATAGTGGATATTAATTGTAGACCGCGTAACAATTTTTAAGCGAATACGCCCGATTGTTGCCAGCACGCGCAGCGGAAAATAAATATTGTTACGCTTGTACACATACGTTTCTAAATACGAAGAATTACAACTCTCGCTCGCACGCTATGTTAAAATTTTAAGGTGCTGAAAACCAAGAGGCTTGTTTTGGTCGTGCGCTACGGCTAGCTTCTAAACGTAAACAATTCTCCTCTCGTCGCGCGCGTCGCATTCCTCGGCGGATTCCACGAACACGCGCTTTCGCTATACAATTATGATTCGAATTTCGTAGTTTTCGCAAAAGCTATCAAACCCATGTGTTGTTGGGCGCTATAATATAACGGGGTTTTGACCCAGCGCGGGTCGCTCGTTATATAATTTACGAGGGAGTTAGAAACAGCTCGGAGTGGGCCTCGTAATAGGCTGCGCGAAGCCTAACCCAGCAGCAACAGAAACGGCGTGGTACAGCTTCTGTTGCCTTAGCCCGCAGAGAGCGTCGTGTGGTCCTATGGGCACTTTTGAGCGATCACGAAATTCAGGGGCGAGAGCCGGACGGAACGGGATTGATTACGATAGGTAAAGAAAGCACAGAGAAAGAGAGCTGATATACAAAAGCATTGAGTTTACTACAGAGAAAGATACAGAGCTAGGGCGCAGCGTAAGCGGGAGAGAGAGCGGCGAAAAGCTAGCGAGAGAGACACGTATTCGAGATGGTACTTACAATGATGTCTTGGCGTTAGCCCTGCAGACGGTATCCTCAGCCTCGCACGTGGCTCGCGAGGACGCGCAGTGTGCAGCTCGGGTGCAGTCAAGAGGCGGGCGGCCTTAAAGGCTCGCACGCGTGGTCACAGGAACTAGCCCACCAAAGGCGCTAGGGGCAATCTCGGTACCGAAGCCTCACACCGAGTGGACACTCGCGTACTCGCCGGAAACCGAAAAGTTAGTCACGGGTAGCAAAAGATCGCATGCACGTGTATAGCCGCTCGTAACACGTTCACGTGCTTCGAAGTCGCCGGTACAAAAAAATGAGTTCTTTTCGCGGTGCTTTCTCCTACCCCACTCTCGTTCTCGCGCGCGTCGCGCCGGCTTCCCGAATGCTCTCTCTCTAGCTCGCCCTCTATTAGCGCTCTCTCTAACTTACCTTTCGCTGCCATACATGTGAAATAAATACATGATAAGTATACATATACATATGAGGATAATTATAATTATGTATAGAGAGAGAGACATAACGAGGGTCTAGCCACTCGTTATAATATTTATAAAAATAAGCAATCTACTCTACGTTTAGTTAGTCTGTTTTTTATGGATTGTAAATTTTACTATGTCATATGAATTTAAGATTAATAAAAAATACAAAAATAGTTGAAAATTTCTAAACATAAAATGAAGGTAATTATGTATAGAATAAAGATTTTAAGGTAAAAGAACGAAACACTATCAACACAGAGCTGTTAAATTGCCTTACACTTACGCATAGTTATTCCTTATGAAATACAAAATAAAGTACCCTAATCGCGATGGTCACTTGGTAAAATAAGGACTTACTTCGCTGATATGGTGTTTGCTGTCTGCGATTTTTGGACAATCTACGTGGCGTGGTCGCAAAAATCGCTTACCTTGGCATTCACCCTGCGCTCCGTGGGAAATACGCCGAAAACCATGGAGAGGGTAGTGGCATTTGCACAAACTGCACGTTTACAGTCATAGTCAAAGTAAACACCCGTTATAGTCAGCGATGCATCCAAAATCTTGAAGAATTGTCAAAGTTTGCACGCACACACTATGGTTCCCTTGCCGCTTACACCTAGCCGTGCCTCCTTGGAGTATTTCTTCTCTCTTCTTATAGATGTTCGCTTACAAGGGAACCACCCCAACCCGACCTCACCGATTTAAATGATTTTGGGATATGTTGTAGTACTTTAAAAAAAATTAGATACGTGTTTTTTTTATCGGCCCATAAGGACTTTTAAGGGGTGAAATCCACCCTAGAAATCAACCCCTAAAATCAGTTTTTTTAATATTTCTCAGCAGCAAATGAAAATTTTTCAGTAAACTCAACGTTAAAAAATTTCTTATAAAAAGGCGCTTTGAAGGACATAACATTTATACCGAAGGGTTGCAACCCCCTTTTTAATAGGGGTAAATACACTATTTTTTGTACTGTTTTACGACATGTAATATAGTAAATCAGCTCGAGTGATTTAAAAATCGCACTGATAATGAGAAAATACCAAAATTAAATTGACGTGTTTCCGAATTTAAAAAAAAAATATTTAAGGAGTTTTTCACCCCCTAGAAACCACCCCCGTCAAACTATCAGCAGGTTAATCCACCTAACCCTGGGATAAACAAGTTTAGTCGTTTGTTATTTCTTGAAATAATTTAATCCTATGTATGAGCGAGCTACCTCAACTAACCAACCTGCCTCTAATCCACCAAACCCCCATAAACCACCCTTACCGAACAACATGCAGGCTAACCCACTTAATCCTGGGAATTTTACACCATAAGCGAGTTATCCTAGCTGTATAACATACGAGGTGTGTTCAAAAAGTACCCGGAATGATCGTTTTTCCAAAAAAATATTTATTTATTCGTTTACATCACACAATGTGGTCCCCTTCAAAGTAATCCCCCCTAGATATAATACACTTATGCCAACGG